CAAGCAGCAGATAGTCAAATGAAAAAATGAATAATGAAACAAGTCAAAAAAAAACTAACAGAAACTAGCTGTCTCACCATTCGGCATCGCATTTGGTGCTATACTTATAGCACAAATAGGTCCACCACAATAAGCAACTGTAACATAATCCTGAATTTCGCGTTTGAGTTCTATCGAACATAGAGCTGACAACCGCTGGCAAGAGTGGGGAACATCCTGATGGGTGCCCTAAAAATGATCATTTTTGAGGAGATTTCAAAGAAACACAGCTGGAGCTCTACCTTATCCTCACTTTCTCGTATCCGAAAACCAACTGATTCCTTGCTTATGAACGGTAGATGAGCTCTATAAACAGTAGCTACTTTATTCAACACAGATTCGTGAAAAAAGGGGCGCATACGATGTCGAGGCCGTTTCCCATGTGGAAGGTACGATATCCCGAAGGCGAGAACATAGCGGCAACGCGATTGTTTCTTGTTGCCACTGATCATGCGCTTTATGCACGGCATCCAAATATCTAGGGTATTCTGATATTCCAGCGGCGCAGTCTGAAGAAAAATGATAATAAACAATGGAAACACAAAAAAATGATGTAGGAAGACGTTACCTTTAACGCCTGCCTTTCGAAATCTAAACCGCATCTTCCCATCGCCGGTGATTGATATACGATTAGTTCCAGAGGGAATGATTCCAGCAGAGATACTCGCCTTGCTACCATATCTCGACCGACGCTTTTTCGTTGTCTATAAGAAGTTGTAAAATGAGATAGCTAGATTACTATATTATACTAACCAAAATTGCTTTTTCGGGCCCCACCATGGCTTCCAAAGCTTCCCTGGCGCTAAACTCGCTGAGGGGCTAAAGAAGAACGTCAAATAGCTTCGCTACAATTTTGGCAATACCACTAAAAATAAAATCGATACGGCATACCTTTGTCTCCCCATTTATGGTCATCAGCTCGCCAGCACCTTCCTTCTGGACGGATCTTCCACTTCTCAAATTCACATCTCCCAATACTCCGATAACGTGTGCAGCGCTTAAAAGAATTTTTTCATAATGACGAACACATAGAAAGGGAAAGCACTAACTCATCCTGTGACGGCTGCTCATCGGGAAAGCAATGTCTGAGATGCTCATATGAATCGGCACGAGTTGCTTGGTAAGAGCATCGGTAGCATTTCCAAGGCATTTCCTGAATAAAAGCGATTCTAACAGTGTAGAAAAAATGAAAAAAAGAGGTGGTGCGATCCATGGCGACTA